AGATTCCTACAAAAAAATTAGACACTAACGTCGATATTAACTTCTCCAGAAAATGCTAAGCGTATTTTATCATGTCATCAATCCTCTGAGCGGAAGATAACTGGTTAACTGCATGGAAAAATTAAAATGCAGATTAAAATTGAATTCTTTGGAAGGCGGAAGATAATTCTTTTATGTGGACCGCAGAGCATAGGATTTTTTTCTTCAGCGGGACTTCTCTGCATTCATATTTTGTCGAAGTTATCGTCGATGTCAGTCAATCAGTTACGATGACAGCTTATCCTTTCGTGTCGCAAAGCAGCAGCGTAACAGTGTGCCGAAGCTTCCCGATCCTGGTCTGGCGTCTGAACTTGGGAAGATGATAACCTGAGTTTAAAGCACACTCCTTCGTCAACCTCTGGATTCACGCTCGATTCGTTATTATGACTATTATTATTATGGCAGTGTCACATAGATCTACAAGTCGGGTCAGCTTATCGCTGCACCTCTGATCAAGCTGCTCAACCGACAAAGTGCTCGACTCACAACTGAGGAGTATCGGGTTCGAGCCCTGGCCGAGTCATTGAACGTTCTTTTTTCCGAGGCTGATAAATGATTACCTTCTGTGAGAAGGAAGCATGAGACTGCACACTACGCTTGCAACGTAGCGGCTGTTCACGTTATCAAAACGGATGAACCACATGACCAACAGCTTGGCTAGATGTATTCTACTGTCGGCAGATATGGAACGGCTCATATAAGAAAAATGAAAAACGCCCTTGAAGAGAAAAAAGAGCCAATGAATAACTGATTGGTTAGAAGAATTTGAATTGTAGAGAAAAGCAGACTCAGCAGGGAAAATAAGACAAATGAAGACCCTGACATCATTAAGACTGAATGCGAAAGCAGTTGAGCGATTGTGCGACGCGCACAGACATCTCTTGATATCAATCGGCAAGGAATGAATGGAGAATGCGGGGAAAATTATTTCAAACGGTGAATGATCAGCAAGCATCTTTACATATGAAAAAACAGCTCCCTCAACCGATACAAATGGAAAGACCTGACGAGCTTTGGCGTCTGCTGCAGTGAGTCAGCTTTCAATTGTTGAATGCCCTCAGCTCGCCGCGATAAACTGACTCAAAGCGTTGACGTTGGTTCCAGTAAAACTTATAGGCGGATGAGTCTTGTTGAATAAATCAGCCCATGGACACTTCATAAGTATCATCGAAGGAACTTTGTTCATGCTGCTAACGTAATTAAAAACAGAAAGATGTAGCGAAAGTTCCGCCTTGTAGACCCCGTCGTTAGCCGTGGGAACAGACATTCGTTGTTTTTTTTGTACGTTCGGACCAGTTAATTCACCCGTTTAACGCGTCTTATTGCAATTCGTAAAACGACTAACATTCATAAGTTCATTGAACTGGGAGCCAGAAAGGGGAAAGGATAGAGGGCAGCTGTTTCAACTTAATTTTTCTCTTTCCGTTTAACGTGACGGGAATTTTTAGCGAAATGGAAATACCGTTTTTTACCTATAATTGTTTACTGACCCATACTTGCATAAGCTTTTGATGGCAGCGTGAATTCAAATTTGATCTCTTGTCTTCCGAAGGTAATATTTCCCATTTGATTCTCTGGTTGCTTTTACCACTTTCGTATGGTGCTCCATTTCTTACAGCGCAGCGTGCCAGCAACATGGTTGTAGTCTGTTGATAGCTCTGCACCTCTCTTAAAGCGAACATCCATTACTCAGCGTCTTAAGCCAGACGATACGATTATCAAATCGAATTAACCTTCCTTCTACCAGATATACTGGTGTACGCTTCGATGCTCCAAGAAGGTATTCGTAATGAACACTCCGTTTTTTGCACTAAACCGCAGCACCTTCATGCAGTTATAGTTGAGGTCGCTAAGGCAATTCTGTGCAATGACGCTTTTCCACTTTACAGTGCGCATTAAAATCGCCCATGTGTATGAGGGACTAAGTATTCGGCACTTCGTACAGAGCAGTGTCCACTTCCTCATGGAAAGATTGTTCGCATAAAACTGTAACAAGGTCAACGCTTTATCCTATTGTCGCTTTAGTCGGAGGATTGCCACCCTTCCGCTGACAGGCGTCCAATTAGTGATTCTATCTGCGAAGTTGGATTTTACCAGAACACCAACACCGGCCTGAGCGCGCGTGATATCAACACCTGCAGAGGTTGTCGATTCCAGAGCATTGGCACTTTGTTGACGAGAGTCCAACAATGTCGAGTTGGTACTTCATGGTCTCATCAGCTAACTTCTGCTCTTTCTCTTTGAGTGAAGATATATTCCAATATTCGACTGTAAGCTCCACTGGTGGTATCGTTCCCGTGGACTTTTGTCAGACGTGCTATAATGTCATGGCGCTGTCTGCCTCCGTTCAGAACGCGTTTCTGATTGGTATCTTCGTCGATCTCGGTAGCCGTTGTTGTGCTGCTACTTTCCCGCCTGCCAGAAAATGCTGAATAATGTCTGATAGGCGACTTTTTGCAGCCTGTTTTAAACCCCGGGCAACCTGCGCGGCCCTTGGTAACCCGGGCGGCGACCGAGCTGGTATAATTTTCGATTTCCGCAATACCTTGAAGGGCAGGTGACTAACTTGCAGAGACTTCGCTACGATTTCCATCTCTCTTTCCTCATTAGGGCTTGGGACAGGAAGCGGCGGAGTTTTTAACTTCTGACTTGGCTGAAATATTTCGTGAAGTTTCCGAAAGGCAGCTTCAGCTTTTGTTACGAGTAAACTTCCTTGGTGACTTCGAAATGTTCTACTTTCAGCAGGACATTGTTTCAAACATTTTGAACATTTTAAATTGCAGACTCTTTCCAGTGCATGGTTTGCTTCTATGTGAAAATTCGTGAGGCGTGTCTTGATCAGTCATATTCATACGCGCTAACCGGGATGTTTTTGCGGCTTAATTTTACTCGATCTATGGCTTCACCTTATATGATACCTGGAAATCATTAATGCAGTTAAGTCAGAACGCCATTTTATGTCCGAAATATCATTACTATGTTGCCTTGCTTTGTTTATGAATAAATGTTTACGTGGATCGCATGTTTTGCTTATTCGCTTGTTTCCATTACTGGAGGTAGAGGTCAGGTTAGCTTTCTAGGGAATGGTGAAGCTATCTTCATATGTTCTGAACGGAGACGGTTTGCTTTACGTCCAGATTGATTCAGTCAGAACAGATTTTTTTTGCTTTGAGGGCTTCAGATAAGTATTTTTCATTGTTTCTTTTGGCAGTTTCGTCGAAGGTTCATGACAGGCAATCGCGGTTCTCATAACCATCAGGGAAAATATAGTTCGTACTCAGGCTGACGATTAGCTACTGTGATGATTTTTCGCTCTCTGCCGAATGAACGTGATTTTGGCCTGCTACCACTTTAGATCATGTGATAACGTTTAAGTTATAGTGTTTTTCTATGAATGATACTTTTTGGATCAGTTTCGTATTCCCGTTGGATCCCAGCTCTGCTCCAGACTTTACAACAGTGTCAGAGTTAGTAGGCACTGTAAAGCTAATGCTTTATTTGCAGACTTTTATGTTATACAACGTCGTATGCAACATTACACTGTAATGCAGTGTCCGGTGATCACTGCCGTACATCTCGTCGTCGTTTCTCTCCCAGCTCTCCCAACAGTTTACTCTCCGAATTCCAGGTTTCGACATCATGACCACCATCGTTGACGTCATAGATATGCGCGATTACCGCCGCCGCTGCTGCCGGGCGCAGGTAAAGCGCTTGGAGAATGCGACGAGCTTGGTCGTGTAAAAGTTTTTCCGTTGCAACGCTTTGCAGAACGTCTTCGGACGGTGCTTTCATTGCTGCGCAGGTGACCATTACGAATGCGCCGAGGACCGTCACGATCAACAGTAGTAAAGGGCAGCAGGCCATCGTCTTACTTTTCGTTTTGTATGGCGGCAGACCGGGGTACGGATTAACGATACGGTTGAGAGTGAAACGCGCTCTTTGACGCACTAGTGTTTACTGCTTGCGTTTTATAAGTTTACGTAAAGGTCACAGTGGTAAGGGCTGGGCGCGTCGGCCGGCCAGACGTAAAGGTGGTACGCAGCAAAAAAGCTAAACAATCGTAGTCGATCATGACTGATCACTGCCGCCGCCCATGTAATGGTTGAACCGTTGGCAGACATCAAATTGAAGCTGATCGCACGATCGAATGAAACTCTTCAGGCACAAGCCAGTCGTCAGTTATCCGATCGCAGTCAACACAACCGTTAGATAATCGCTGATGATCGCCACTGTCGACTTGTGGTACTGTCTGCCAGCGAAGACTTACGCCGTCTAGATTGCTGTCCAGATGTTATGAATACCCGTCAGTGAATTCACAGTCGAGCGAAGAATGGACGGCAACAAGCCGTTCTTTTGGTTGTTCTCTGGCTCGTTCGATTTGATTAAAATGCGGCTGATTGATGTGCGTCTTGGGGCGAAACAAACAGACACATATCCATCAGTGCATCCTGTTTGAAGTTTGAATTTGAAATGTCATATCTTGAGTTTAACCGGCGGGTTGTTGAGGTAATTAAGCGACTCATTCGTCGGACACGGGGGTTGAGGACAGTTAGGGAACAATAAACCTTTACATTGCAGACAGTCGTTAATCAGTTTGTGTTTGTGCCACGGAATCTGATTACTATCGTGTGTCCCGCTATTCTATAAATGACCAGACCGATATATATATATATATATGGTGTTCGTAATCTCCTTTGACTCATATCCCCATATACAAATGTCTCGAAGATTAGTGCATAGTTCAGGGAAATTTGGTTTTATTGGAGCGTGTGAGCTATTCCAAAATTTCCTGAATGGACGGATGCTCTGTGTATAAAATGAGGGAAGGAAGCAAAATTTGAAAAGCATTCTGAAATGATTGGACTCATCGCTTCAAACGAGAAGAACGATAAGAATATCAGACAATTCATTGTGTTAAAATCTATTCAATGTTAAAACGTAACATATATCAGTTTCCTATTATTTTTGAAAATATTTTACAGATGAAAAGATGTACAAACCAACTCCAAAATAAGAATATCGACCAAAATACATGGTATTAATCGATAAAGAAGTCGTCTAGATCTGAAGAGGATACTTGAGGATTGATCTTAAAATCCCAATCTGAAGATCTTGACACTATCCATGAAGTGCCTTTTGAGACAAAAATTCTACTTGATTGAACTTGCGACTCTGTCACGACCGCTAATGAAAATAAGTCAGATAGAGAGAGAATGACAAGATTGCTGGGGATTACAAAATTAGACGTGAATTGGTAAAGGTTTTAAATTAAGATGGTATTATCTGCTTGACTCGTGCGTGCCAAGTCGTGCAGAGTTATGGTTAAACATTCAAGGCGTAGTGGTCTAGTGTTGCTGGCCAGGTGATAAAAGTGAATCAGAGATTGCATCAGCTGGTTCCAGTAATGTAGCTGCAGTGTTTTGACAGTAGGGCCCGAGAAATGGTAGAACGCAAGGTTAGGAATTAGCAGTGTTTCGACTGCAACAGTATGGATCTTTTTCACGGGTCGGCGAAAGAAGTTGAGGATGTGAAAAACAGGCGTGTGCTTGCTTTTTAGGTCAGTGAAAGGCTTACAGGAAGGTACCGTTATGTTGCAGAATACGAGATGAATGGATACATCTAATCGTTATTCGATTGCTCAGAAGTCTGCATCTCAGATAATGGAATAAAGTATTTACCCTTTCAGAGTTCGTGTTTGTCTCCTTTACGAGTATTTATTATGTTCTTTTCTGTCTGTAGTTCTTACCGATTGCATCATAAGGCAGAACTTAATCACAGACAGTGTTGCAGTTGGTTGTGTTCGATTGGTTTACCCACTGTTTGCAGATATTCATCATAATCGCTTTCTGTCATGGTGACTTGGAAAGTGCGCATTTGTTGGCAGCTGTATGTTATTCAAGCGGGGTAAAGATCGGTCTGACTGAAACCGGTGCTTTTGTACTCTCGGGAAAAGTTTTCTGTTTGTTTTGCCTATTTGTAATGTACAAATGAGGCAGATAGAAAAGTTTAGGTATATGAAAACAGAGTAGAACTGAGGGTAGATAAGACACGGAAATGACACATGAATCAATAACGCAAGCTCATTAATGCGGGAGCTACACTGATCTGTGATGATGACGAAAGAGCTGATCAGTAACTCGAAGGTGTCTGTTTTCACCTCTGTACATGGTACTTACCCTCATTCGTAGACACGAGTGCTGGAAGCAGCGCGTGAAGTTCAAAATGTATGCTTCAGAAATGAAGGTTCTTCGAGGGAGTATTGGTGTAAGGAAGTTACAAAAGCGTGCGTCAAAACAGCAGTCCCAGGCACCCCTGCATTGCAGCCGTTTCTGTTCCATGTCGCGGGATAAAAATTGCAGTGGTTTGTGCGCGTGGTCAGGATGCTGAAGACCAGAATTTCAAAACGATTTCTTCGCTTAGCCACATGGTGTGCCGGCAGGTGGCAATCCGAGAACCAGATGACTTCGGTATGTTTAACTTCAAGCATTTCTGCGCCGTAGAATCCAGCCCGTGAGGCTTTTCTTTTCCACGGAGTCATGTGACATTTCCTGGACTGCTGCTGTGCGACCCTAAAGGAAAGGCAGGCTACGAAAATGAACAGAGTGGTAGCGGTGAAATGTGTTTGCACTAGGGTACAACAGAGGTAACATTTCTCTTTAACTTATGCCTGAATGCACAGATCCGAAGAAACCTATATATGATTGATTAATTAATGAGGTTCTTGTGCTGATGTTATGGGTTAGTTGTCAGTCATGTCAGGGCATGTTACAGTCATTTAAAGCTAATCATGCTAATCAATCAACGGCCGTAAATTTCGTAAGTTTTTTTGGCGTGATACTATCAGGATGTCAGATTTTCCAAATTATCAACCTGCCGGTCACATGCAGATAGTTTCTCGGCAAGTTATAGCACTGGAGGACAGTCTGTTGAATACAGTGCTCAAGGAAGTACGGTTCGTAAATTCTAAATTTTGTTTATACAATAACTTATGATCAGACTGATTTCAGGCAAGAACGGTTGCATCGTATCCAGATTTGACTTGTAGAGTGCGAGAAGTAGCTTGCGTCGCTTTTTTCGTACACTGAACTACCTTATAGAGAAATTTCTGTTTGAATTCTTGCTCCGAGTAACGCTTATGCTTTAAAAGTTAGGAACAAGCGCTGAATTTCGGTGAACGGTCATTTGTAAGTCCATCTATGAAAGTTTAGTGTCAGTTTATGTTCTTGTTGTCAGATAATTCTTGCATGGACGCGTTGAACATCGGTAAGATAACTGAAGGATCATGTCATTGACTACAATGACTTTAAGGTCCTCAAAAATACCTCAGACTTGTGTATTAATGTGATACGCATGGAATTGGGTAAGTCAATCATTGACTCAAATCTAATTCCGCAACCCCTGTTGTTTTTGTCTTCTTATAAACTTCTTTAAGCACTTATCTGACATAGGTGTCCATCTAATGTTACTAGTGCGCTGCGAAGGCAAGAATCTTCCAGTTGAGTTCTCTGTATCCGCAGCACTTGCGTTTTGTGGAGTGTCTGTCTTTGCATGAAAGAAGTGGTTATCCATTTAATGACAGATGAAGTGCCTTCATGTGAGGCATTTTTTACTCTGTGATTGAAAGGTAGCCATATTCACTTCAGTTCACTTTCATGCGATATCCTTTTAACATTTCGCTCTGCTTCAGGTTCTTCTGATGATTGTACTTTTTACTATGTGAAGATGAGGCATTTAAATTTTGAAATGACTTAAGAACGTTTGTGTTTTAGGTTCGAGGTCGCTTCTGGCGATGCTATAGTTGAACTGTTGGAAGGTACGGGCGAAATCTTTGGCTCTGAACTTGTTCAGCATAAGCGCTACACATTTCCCACCGGTTCCCGTGTAGCCATATTTACCTGGCATGGATGTTCAATTGAACTGGTAGGCGAGACAGACGGTGCTTATATCGCAAAGCAGACGCCGATGGTTATCTATCTCAATACTCATGCCGCCCTGGAAATGATGAGACAGCACGCTGAAGAGTACGGCAACCGAGGACCAAGATTAATGATTGTTGGTAAGTTGGCTGCGGAAAGAGGTTGTGACTTGGATCGTTCAACCCTGAACGTAGTGCTTCATTTGTTTAGGTCCGACGGACGTGGGTAAAAGTACGTACTGCCGCATTTTACTAAATTACGCGGTCCGCATGGGTCGCTGTCCA